CAGTGTAAATGAGGTTGCCCATGAACCAGATGTATGACGTCACCTCGTCGCCGGCGCCGACATGACACCGTTCAAAAGCGATCATGTTCAGATACGTCGATTCGGTTGTATCGTCGATGACGAAGGAGGGGAGTCTCAGGACTCCTTTTTCGAATGAGATGTCTTTAAGGTTGTTGCTTCCTTTTTCTCTCTCGAGCCGGACGCCTGCTTCGAAAAGCTCCGTTGCCGAGCGCGGGATTAGATTCGCATTGTATGAACTCGGATGTGTGCTACTATATATTCTGTGGGAGCCGATGCCGGGTTCTTTACCTAATAGGCTTTTCCGAAATATATCAAGTACGTGCAAGCATGGTCCCCATTTTGGTGAATGAGTGTAACGAGTCTCGTCGGGACGACGGAAATCCAGTATCAGCTTGTTGATGGATTCCTCATTTTCCTACATGAATTGAGGGTAATGTTAATTGAGGAATGATATTTGGATTAAATTAACCTAATTTGTTATTTCCATTGGATTTTCGGTGAATTTTATCAAACATTAAAACTATGTGTTAATTAAACGGCTATAATAAAATCACATCATTAAGTCATCATTATATTATTAATAATTATAATTATAATTATAATAATTTTATTAGACTATGTCATTGTTATATCATTAGATCAATAAATTATGTTTATTTTTGAAGTCTCAATAACATTACTCATAAACTTATTTTGTTGTGCTTATCTTGTTCTTCTGGGTTCACATATTTACGTGATATATTTTGAGAATTATGTTGCCTATTTTTTCACTAATTTTATTTAACTAAAGAAAAATAAATCTTAAGCATGAGCACATGGAAGTATAAAGACAGTATATGCATTGACAAACAAAAATTTCAATAACTATTTTCCACAAAAAAAATGATGTAGTCCATTGATCATCTTTCAATATGGTGTGTTTAATGGGTTAAAAAATTTGATTTTAGGAGAAGCGGTATTTCCCAAATCAGTGAGTCAATAATTCTAGACACAATATGAGAAAATAAATAGTTTAAGAGAACTGTGGCACAAGGGGTATACTTCAGGGGA